TGGACGAGCGCATCGTCGCGTACAAGCGTCTCCTCGCCATCGGACGCATTGAAGACCCCGCTCCTGTCGACACACAAGACATACTTGCCATAGCAGGCCACGTGTAAAACACACAGAGATCCATGCATCAAATACATATATTTCATAGCCTCACATCCACCACGCCTACACGGATAGCAACACTCCTTACCGTAAGCACGCCGCCCTTCTCATATCGCTATCTCCACCCACACGCGCACAGACACACTGCACACCGCACGTCTCCAGCCTCTCACTGCCCTTGTCGTATCCGGTGCTCGCTAGGCCTCCACCCAAAGTTGCTTGGCGACGGCGGGTATCGATCCCGCTCCTCAGGACAAGTCCTGCGCTCAACCTGTGAGCTTCGTCGTCGGAGTTGGGTGGGCGGAGGCCACTAGAGATCTGAGGGTTTCGGCCCCAAAAAGGAAGACTGAGATGCTAGGTTCCCTGTCGGCAGGGTGTTTATTCGTGACGCTCTCCTATTGGCCAGATAAAAAACTTTACTAAGGTTGGCTGTAGAGAATACGTCACAATTATGAGTTGAGTTTGTCATTATTTAAAAGATAGCCGCCTCTATTAGTGGCCCTCCTCCCGCGCATCGGGTCTCATTCATGAATTTCCGGGCTGAAACGCACACTGCTCCAAGCCCATAAAATAGTGCTAGATAAAAAAAGTCGATTTTCTCGGCCTACAGGCCTCTACAGCGCATTTCCTGGCGCCTGTGAATTGCCTTTTGAAAGCTGACTGAACTCGTCGTACTTTGTGTGAGTCGTACTTTGCGTGAACGTACTTAATGTGATTCCCCTACACCTGGCTTTATTTTGTGTCAGCCCGAGCGGTCGGACAATGTAGGGAAGTCGGAACCGTTGCGATACTAGACGAGCGCCGCCCGCTTTGCGGGCGGGTAGGCATGGTTGGTCCTAAATTGACCAATATTGACCTATAGGGATGTCGCAGAAAAGTGTGACCGTTAGTGGGTTATATTTGTATTTTATGTATTTCTGAGAGCATTCTAGAAGGTAGGAGTAGGCTAAATGATGGGTGATATTGCATGTATAAGAGTGGTGTAGCCAAGGCAACCCGTTAGGTTTATGCGCTTAAACGTTGAACACACGGACGTTCAGACAGAAAGACACCGCACTCGCCTACAGAGTATAGACTAGACGAGTGCCGCCCGCTTTGCGGGCGGGTGGGCATGATTAGTCCCAACCCGTGGAGCTCGCTGTTCTAGCTTGCCCCACTACTACGCAAAGCCCACCTTCGCTTCGCTCGGCAGGGGTTGGAGCTTGCTACATGTAGAGTCCCAATCTGTGGTCGCTGTTTCAGCTCCTCCCCCCCACTATTCCATAGCCCCCACCTTCGCTTCGCTCTGGGGGTAAACACGTCTTTATCAAAGACCAATTCATATGCACAGTGGACATGTATTTTTTGTTATGAAATATGGAATGTTTCCCTACTTCTTCCTGCTTACATCTCGAATATCTGTCGGTAGACTACATGCTGCGCCCTTCTTGCTTCGTGCCGCTCTCGGACACGTTCTCGCTGTGCGTCACGGTTCTCATCGGACTGCTGTTCCCTAGCATTGGTATGAAGTTCTCGGTCGGTGTCCCACTCTACATCACGTTCATCGCCAGTCTGCTGGGAGCGTCGCGTAGCCTGCACCACGGCGTTTGCTTTACGCTCCTCTTTGAGCTCGTCCTCGGTCTGCTGGAAGCGACAAAGGGATCGGGCTTCAGTGTCTCTTTCTCTTGAAGCCGCACGTTCCGCCTCTGTTTGTTGAGATCGTCTAGCGACCTGCTGTTCACGCTCATGCGCTCGTGCAACTTGAGTGCGCAGCAATCTCTGGGCCTGATGCGATAGGCGATTCCTTTCCCGATCAGCTTCCACTTCTTTAGCTCTTCTTTGGGCCCTACGTAACCGTTGTCTCTCTGCATTCCTCTGTGGCGCGCGTTCGCGTTGGGAAAAGCTCATGTTAGCTCGTCGAGCCCGGGCTCTCTCTGCATCACTCATTCTCACTGCCGCAGCACTGGAGGTGTTTATAGTTGGAGCTACCGCTAATCCAACAGCAGTTGTCACAGGTACTGTCGGTACTCCAGAAGTTACGGTGGAACCATCGGCAACCGAAACGTTATTCACCTGCTGGCTTAACAGGTCAAGTTCTCGGACCCGTGTCCTAAATCGTTTTTGCGCCTGATGCCTTCGGTTCGTACGCCGTCGCTTCGACGCAGGCGATTCATCCCCCACTGGTGTAGCGTTAACGCGCTCCGTTTCGTCCAAACGTTGCTGCAGTTGTTCTCTGCGATCACCTGTGTACAATCGGTTGTTACCAAACGGTTGTTAGCAAACCGTCACAACAGCAGTTAACATGCATCTACAGTACCTGTCCCGCTTCGTGCCAACCCTAACGGGGGCCATCACCTTCCCTCGCAAAAACACGAAGGAAGCAGCGATAGACAACGGTCTAACACTGACTAATTATATTGGTCATATCTATCAACATGTTTTCTATGGGGAATTGGAACATGCAGCGCATGCCGTTCTGCCTCTGACACGGTAAGCAGCATGAAATGTCTCCATCTCATGTGCCGGTCTCACACACGACCGCTGGCCCAAGGCTGAGATGGGTGGCCCGGCCAAGCCGGCTTTTATCGCCACATGGATCCACCCCAGGACCCCGGATTGGTATGAGGCTTCCCATGCCGCTGGCGGGCGAACATGGGCGTCTCAGGGTCGGGGCTCCGAAGAGCAATAGAGAGGCAGAACTGAGATACAAACGATGGCGGGGGCCAGCTGCAAC